CCTAATCACAATGATGTGTATCACTACTCGTTACCCAGAGGCTTTTGCTGTAAGGAACATCCGAGCAAAAACTGTTGTTGCTCGTATGTTGCAATTTTTTTCCACTTTTGGACTGCCTCGGGTCGTGCAAACTGACAATGGTACTAATTTTAAGTCTGATATTTTTGAGCAATTTTGTAAGGAACATGGAATAACTCATAAGGTTTCCAGCCCATACCATCCACAGAGTCAGGGGGTAATTGAACGTTTCCATCTAACTCTGAAGCAGATGTTGAAGACATCGTGCGAGAGTTCCCACACCTTCTGGGATGAGAATTTACCGTATGTTTTGTTTGTGGCTAGAGAGGGATTACAAAGTTCACTGGGTTGTTCTCCTTTTGAGTTAGTCTTTGGCCATAAAGTTCGTGGACCCTTGCAAATGTTACAGGAGAATCTGTTAGGGAACGTAACGTTAACCGAAGGTTTGGCTTTCTTTGCGCAACACCACCAGAGACTCAAGGACTGCAAGGCGGCTGCATTAAAGTATCTTGGCAAGGCCCAAGAAAAGATGAAAGAACGTAACGATGCTAAATCTAAGTTACGGGTATTTCAGCCTGGCGACCCTGTCCTGGTATTAAAGCCTCGACTAGGGAACACTATGTCCCACAAGTACGAAGGCCCCCACATTGTGACAGAAAAGACTGGGGACCTCACGTACAAAGTGAGGCACTCTGACAAACGTAACCAGGTAATGCTCATACATGTAAATCGACTGAAGAAGTTCCAGGGCCCCAGGCCCATTGCACTAACCAATGTTTCCATTTCCAGTGAGAGAGGGGATGATTGTTCTGGGGACCCAACTAATCTCATTTTCAATAATTCTAGTTCTGTGAATGCTGGGGAGGAGAGACTGTCCCATTTGCAGATGGCCCAACGTGAAGAGGTGCAGTCGTTGGTTGACGAAATTTCCAGTCTGTTCGGGGAGGTCCCGACCCAGACTGATGCCATTTGCCATGATGTCGAGTTGACGGACTACACTCCCATTCGCCTTCAACCCTATCGGATGAGTCCATAAAAGAAGGCCATCGTACGGAAGGAGGTCGACTTCTTGCTCCAGTACGGCCTCATCCGGCCGAGCCAGGGCTCTTGGTGCTCGCCCTGCCTTTTGGTCCCCAAACCAGACGGCTCCTAGCGATTATGCACCGACTATCGGCAGCTCAACAAGGTGACCATTGTGGATGCCTATCCGCTGCCCCTCCTCGAGGACTGCATCGACGAGCTGGGAAATGCCAAGTACGTCTCGAAATTTGATCTCTCGAGGGGGTATTATCAAATCCCCCTCACTGAACGTGCTAAACAACTAACTGCGTTTGTGACACCCGAGGGTGTTTTTGAGTATCAAGTGTTACCATTCGGCTTGCGTAATGCTCCTGCCACGTTCCAGAGACTCATGAACTCTCTGCTCGCTAAGGTGCCAAATTGTCGGGCGTATTTAGATGATATCGTGCTCTTTGACAGTAATTGGGCTGACCACATACCTAGGTTACGCCAGTTGTTTGCAATCTTGAAAAGGGCAAATCTTACCTTAAATGCTAGAAAGTGTCATTTTGGCCAAGGCACAGTGACGTACCTTGGTTATGAAGTGGGCCAAGGAAAAGTGTTACCTCGGCAAGATAAAATCAGTGCCATTCTGGAGTATCCAGTACTAAAGTCTAAAAAGGACGTTCAAGATTTATCGGTATGTGTGCGTACTATCGACGTTTTTGTCAGAACTTTTCCAGTGTTGCACTGGAACAACCTCTCACAGACTTGTTGCGGAAAGCCGTTAAATTTAAGTGGTCATCAGACTGTGCAGAGGCATTTAAAAATTTGAAATTGATCTTAGCTTCCGCCCCAGTGCTTGCTAGTCCAAGGTTCGACCGACCGTTTAAAATTCATGTTGACGCGTCTGACTCGAGTGCTGGTGCAGTGTTGTTGCAAACTGGGGATGATCAGGTAGAACACCCAGTATATTATTACTCTGTGAAATTCGACAAGGCGCAGCGCAATTATTCAGTGGTAGAAAAAGAGGCGTTGGCGCTAGTGTTAACATGTAAAAAGTTCAAAGTTTACCTCACAGGTAATATAGTGGAAGTGTACACGGACCATAACCCACTAGTCTTCCTGACTCAGATGAAGGGTAAGAATAAACGCATCCTCAGGTGGGCATTGTACCTACAGGACTTCAATCTTTCCATTACCCACCTACCGGGCAGACTCAACGTGATAGCCGACGCTCTGTCCCGGTTGCCTGAATAACATTCATCTGAGCCACAGAAAGCCATTTACCAACTGTCATGCTTTAGTTATTTTTTTTTAGGTTCTCCTGTGACATTAAATATTCCGTGTCCAATTTATTTATTTCCCTGTTCTTTTATTTTTTTGTGTATGTTTTTTTTTTTCTTTCAGAGAACTCCTTTGTATTTTTTTTGCAGAGAAATTGTTTTTGATTGATTTTTTGTTTTTGTCATATGTTTTTCTTTTTATTCTCTGTATACTCTTACAAAAAAATATGACTACTATTCTAGTAGTCACATTTTTTTTTTTCTCTGGAGGGGGGAGGAGTGTTACGACCCTGGGTTCTCCAGTGGAAACCAGAGGTCAAAATTGAGCTATTAAACTTTCTGGTAGTACAGTTGAGTGCATATCGAGCGGCAATTGTTTGTATCTTCCCTGCCAGACGTAAGACTATTATTGTTTCTCAAAGAGCATTTAAAGACTGAGCTGGGGGTTGATTATTAAATAATAACATAGGCACCAACTTTGCTTACTAATACTTTCTAATCATTTGTAAAGTAACAATACGTTGCATAGGGGAAGATCTTTAATGTGCTTAGCTGCACGATCAATTAGGCTCCTTCCGGCACCACGACATGGGTGGCCTAGCTGGTCGCTAGGAGGTTCTTCTCTGGCTGGCGTTCGTGCAGACGAGACCTACTCTGTGGCTGCACCCCTAATCTCCTCCCTTCTCCTCTTACTTATTTCCCTTACCTTAAGTTCCTGTACCATTAAGTTAAGTATTGTATGATTTCTAAGTGTACCTTCTCTGGTAGTAACGATTGGTGAGACCTGGGGGTAGTAGTTGCCAGTGTTTTGGGTAACCCTAAGTGTTGTGTTTTGTATTAGGGTACCACGTGGGGTCTCACTACCCTAAGCTGCATCCAGCTTCAGTGCTTATCCAGTAGTACTTTACCCTAGCTTGTTATTAGTGTAAACCTTGTATCCTGCCTATGTGGACCAAGGCTTTTAACGTAAGATAGTGTGGTAAAGTTATTATTATTATTGTTATTGGTGTGAGTGTATATGGGGGGTTGTTAAGGGGTTAATAAATAAGTACATGAATTACAGAGTATCCCTTCTTCCTGTGTGGGAGCGCATTGATCAACCCTTAGACTAACATATATGGCCTAGTAGCAAGTTATTACTACTGTGGATAGTTTATTTTGGGGGCCGGGCCATTTAGCTCTCCCATATTTGATACTCTTGTCTTCTAACTACCCTTACCCCTTAATAGTACCAGTACCCCATAGAAGCCAATACACCATTATTTATAACAGGGTAGGAGGACAATTACAAGATGGAGGAGAATTACGAGACGCAGGAGAAAGGGAAGGAGGAGAATTACAAGACGCCGGAGAAGGAAGAGGAGGAGGAGGAGAATTACAAACAAGTGAAAATGAGTCCTCTGACGTTCCTCATGTCATCAGTCAAATTCCTCATGTCCTCAAATTCCTCAAATTCCTCAGTTCCTCATGTCAAATCAGTCAAATCCGTCGAACTACCTCATAAATTACTTCGAGAATTAATACAATCCTCCATCTGTCAAGCAGATTTCTCTGAGCTACCTCAGGAAACAAAAGAATATGCCCAAGAAACAAAAGAATTCGTTTGTCAAAGAGATTCGTCTGAACTTCGAAAATCCAAAATGAAATCCAAACTTGTAGAATCATTATTCTCGCTATTTATCGAAGACATAAATAGCTATAAAGGTCTCTTTATTGTTCCCAAACCACCAATTTCGTATAATCCTAAAAATACTGCCGATACTGACAAGACAATAATTCAACCCCTTAATAAATTCCTTAGTTATTATGATAAAATCCGCAAATACTTTATCAATGGTTATCCTGCATATTACGTACATAAACTATATACAAATTCTAATATTGATAGGGGATATTATACAAAAAATCCAATTATATTAATATTTCCATGTAATTTCCATAATTTCATACCTGATATTTATACAGATCTAAATGAAATAGAAGACGTCAAATTAAAGGACAATTTAGACGCACAGGCGATGAGTCACAATAACGTGGCTGAAGTATGTTGACCAGACCACACACTAGAAGTTGATGGGACGACGACGTTTCGGTCCGTCCTGGACCATTCTCAAGTCGATTGTGATGAGGAGTTAGAGACAGGCAATAAATAGGCAAGAGAGAGCTGAGGAGAAAAGTAAGGTGTAGTAGAGGGGATAGTAGTAATAATGAGAACTGCAGAGGGCCTATTGGCCAATACGAGGCAGCTCCTATTATAACCACCGAAAGAGAAGGAGATAGTAATAGGAAAAAGAAAAGGATAGCAAGGGAGCGTAGGAGAAGACAATGAACAGAAAAAGGGGAGAAGAGAGAAAGAAAAGGAAAGAGAAAGAATGATAAATGGAAGGGGTAAGCTTACGTTAAGTCATGTTTGTTAGAAAGATTAGAGCATTTGAGAATATACAGTGAAAGGGAAGAGTCCACAGCAACAAAGTTGCTGTGGACGATTTATTTAGATTTAGACGCATCACATATAAAATTACAAAAGAAAGGAAAACGATTTTACATGAACAAATTGTTGATATCATGTACCCATGCTGCAAGTCAAGATATATTTCATTGTGGATTTTATACTGATAATTTCCCAATGACAGAAAATTCACTACCCCCATTTGTGGTTGTGACACTTGAACTTCAAGACGGTAATAATGAGGTGGAATGTTGGCTAAGAATATCAATTCCTCAGACACATTTGCTAGCATTAAATTTAACATTTATGTGGAAGTCGGAGAAGAAGAAACAACAACAAAATCACAAGGAGAAGGAGGAGGAGGAGAATCACGAACAATAGGAGGAGGAAGAGAATCACAAACAGTAGGAGGAAAAAGAGGAGGAAGAGAATCACAAACAGTAGGAGGAAAAGGAGGAGGAAGAGATTCACTAACAGTAGGAGGAGAAGAAATAGGAAGAGAATCAGAAACAGCAGGAGGAGAACGAGGAAGAGAATCACAAGCATTAGGAATGCACATAGCACAGTTATTACAAGCTCGTTTGGGAGAATCCCAAACAGTACGAGGAGAAGGGGGAGAACCCCCCACCAAAAAGATAAAAACTGGATACAGCTATGCAGAACAAAATGTTCCAAGCAGCACGGACTATGACGAATCTCTCAATTTGAAGTATTGGGAAAGCTTTTAGGCACATTAAAAATAATCGTTTATGGATCGTTTTCATTAAAAAACACAAGGTCGTTTTAAAATATTAGATCTATGAAACTACTCTTAATATCATTCTAATCACATTGTCAATTATTTTTTTTATAGATGCACTCAGTCAACATTATATGATGCAGTTGGTGCATTGGGAAAGCTTTTAGGCACATTAAAAATAATCGTTTAGGGTTTGCTTTCATTAAAAAACCCAAGATCGTTATAAAATATGAGATCTATGAAACCTCTCTCAATATCATTCCAATCGCATTGTCAAATATTTTTTTATAAATGCTCACAACATTATAAGATGCAGTTGGTGTATTGGGAGAGCACTTTAAAATGGTTCGTTTTCATTAAAAAACACTAGATCGCTTTGAAAAATTAGATCTATGAAACCTCTCTTAATATCATTCCAATCACATTGCCAATGATTTATTTTTATAGATGCACTTAACATTATAAGATGCAGCTTCATGTATTGGAAAAGTTATTAGGAACCTAAAAAATAATCCTTTATGATTCGCTTTCATTAAAAAACACAAGATCGTTATAAAATATGAGATCTATGAAACCTTTCTTAATATCATTCCAATTGTATTGTCAATGATTTTTTAAAGATGCATTCAATCAACATTATAGGATGCAGTTGGTGTGTTGGGAAAGCTTTTTAGGCACGTTAAAAATAATCATTTAGGGTTCATTTTCATTAAAAACCCAAGATCGTTTTAAAATATGAGATCTATGAAGCCTCTCTGAATATCATTCCAATCGCATTGTCAATGATTTTTTTTTGCACTCAATCAACATTATAAGATGCAGTTGGTGTATTGGGAGAACACCTTAAAATGGTTAATTTTCATTAAAAAAACACTAGATCGTTTTAAAATGTCTATAATCTTTTCAGTTTTCTCACTTTAATTTTCATGCTACGTCGTTCATTTGATGTAAAATTGTTTGTAATAGAATTCTCTAAAGGGATGTATGCATAGAAGGCCAAAAAAAGCTCAACGTGCCACCCGCAGCCAACCCGAAAATCGGATGAGCCATACCTGGGAACGAGCACCCATCAACAAGCCCACTACACTGGCACTAAAATGTGTATACTTTTTAGTTTTCTCGCCTCAATTTTCGTGCTACATCGTTTATTTTGGTATCAAGAGTAAGGTTTTATATGAACAAATAACTTCAATATAAATTGGCAAAAGTAATTAGATTGGTGACGATATATGTTTTAAGAACTAATTTTGGGGAAGTAGGTAATATCGATGTCAACATAGAAAATAGTAATTCTATTGATATGTCTATTTTTAGTTCTTTCCAGAAAGTAGGATGGGAATCAATCCCTCTGAGAATTGTATAAGGTGGTGATCGTGTCTCGAGTTAAGAACAATACCTTGTACTCTATCTGTCTGAGGGTTCTTTATCAGGTGAAATAGTCGCTATATAAACATCTCCCAAATATTAGATAAAGTTTACTTCCCTCCTTTTTGGCCCTCCCATAGGGTCATTTTAATTTTATTTATTTGGGGATATAAAAGGCCCGGGGATTTTATATACTGTGGTATATAAAACATTACAAATGTATATAAAACTAGTGATATGTATATAAAATTATGAAAAAATTACAAGTGGTTGACGACACATGTGATATTTTTTTTTACTTTGACATTATGTGAGGAAGTAAATATATTATCAACTTTAAGATTACATGAAAAATCTTCCACATAAACAAGTTGAAGAACATGATATCAGTAAATTTTAGATTTCAGTCTAAGATACTCTATCCTTTTGAGATTTATAGCCTAAAATCCAGTTTCATTAAAAGCTGTTTTCTCATTATATATATTTAAAAACCATTAATATGCAGTATATATCTGGGCAAACTATACCTGATTTAATAAATATAACTAATACAAACTTCCTTATTTTTCCTCCATCATCCTATTCCTCACCTTTTAATCAAGATATGACAAATATTACTGCTTGCGTGAGTATTTTAATTCAAAAATTGTATAGTGAGGCAAATATGAAACATGCAAATTTATATGTAATAGAAAAAATAATAATAATAATAATAATAATAATAATAATAATAATAATAATAATAATAATAATAATAGTAAACCACAACCAATAAGTTTATATGATGTAAATTCATATGTGGAAGCAGGTTTACTAAGAAAAAATAAGCAGTCATCTAAATTAAAAGTTCAATTTACAACAGATACCGGTGAAATAAAAGCGAATTTGACTATTTAACATTTTGTTATGTCTATGTAAATTCTTGCCCACACATTTCTCATAATGCAGTAGCAAATCAAAATGGTCTTCCCCTCCTTTTTTAATTATATTAACGACAATTATGGTTGTGTTATTTTGTTTCATTGGTATGCAACATTATTTGATCCTCGATAATGACCCAGTTTTTACAATAAACTATTACAAAATTTATATCCTTCAAAATTTAAATAATGTTTAAATGTCAAAAAGAAGAAAATTATTTAAAAGAATGTGCTTCTACTAACATGCCTTTTTCCTATGAAAGTTGGTCTTGGTGTAATAATACCCTGGACAATAATAAGGATGATTATTATTACCTCCCACTACACGACACCAAGTTTTTTTTTTCAAATAGTTACTAATTTCCTCAAATACTGCAGACAGATATATAAATCACTCGTTAATCATAATGCTTATGATGGAGGAAGATGTCTACTATGTCAACTACCTGGTCTCTTGCTCTTAGGTTATGATATCGAGAAGCAAAAGAAAGGTATAGTGTCATTTTAATTTTTCACCTCTGATTTACCGTGCAACTGGGTTATTCCAACTTCGGTCTCTGCCTTTTCTGAAATGGTTACCAATCCAGGTTGGATTGCAACTACAATGCTCAAACCTAAAATACAACCTGTTTTTAATTCACCCCACGTGATTAATATCTTTAGACTTCCTGACAGTGGCTTAGTTGTAGCTTATCATTGGTCCTCAATTCTCTTTTTACTCCTAGAACCCATATTAGTGATACCATCTTCTCAGCTTAAATGTAAAGTTCTGCAGGGTAATTGGGATCCTCATCAGTTAGTAAATAAAAAAAGAACGAACAATATTATTGATAAAGAGGCCAGTCTAAAATCTCTCGGCTCTCGTTATATTGTACATTATTACCCCAAGTCTCATCTTAATGAAAATATATTTTCTATTGCAGTGTTTTACAAAGATTCACCAAACATTAACCAACAACACGATTCCTTTCAACCCTCAGATTTCATGAAATCTCTTATCTGGGGTATTTCTCTCTTACAACTGAGTCAAGAAAAAATATAACAATGATAAGTACCTAACAGACGGAATGCATTAGGCAGTGGAGACAGACTCCATACACAGTTTCAAATGTAGATATGATAGAGTCCAATGGGCTCAGGAATCTACACACCAGTTTATTGACAGTTAAGAGGCGGGACCAAAGAACCTAAGCTTAATCCTCCACCCCAAGCACAACTGGTGAGTACACACACACACACACATTTGACGAAAATAAAAATTTAACCAGTGTATATATATAAAACTATAATCTCAATTTGTTTTTGTTTTCTTAGTAAGTATTAAATAACAGTAATATTATTTAATTTACTAAAGCAAAAAAAGAAAGAATAAGAGGAGTATATATATACTGTATACAGTCACCCAGGCTTCAGAGCTGGATTAGACACGCGTGGACAATTTTAGGCATCCTAGAGAATATTATTTTAAGTTGGGAGTTGTTGTTATTACTATTTATTTCTTGACTCAGTTGTAAGAAAAAAAATCACCAGATAAGAGATTTCTTGAAATCTGAGGGTAAAAAGGAATCGTGTTGTTGGTCAATGTTTGGTGAATCTTCGGAAAACTTAAGTGTAGAAAGAAAAGTGTCAGCGTACCTAACCGATGGAATGCATTAGGCAATGATGATGAGGAGGCAGACTCCTTATGCAGTTTCAAATGTAGATATGATAGAAACCAATTGGCTCAGGAATCTATACACCAGTTCAGATGCGGGACCAAAGAGCCGAAACTCAATCCCCCCAAATACAACTAGGTGAGACACTATACACTATATTTTTTATTTTTAGTAAATATATAGTAATAATAATTTTTTATTTACTTAGACAAAACAAAAAGAGAGAATAAGAATTTTAGTTTTATATATACTGCATACAGTCAACCGGCCAGCAAAGCTAGATTAGACACGTGTGGACAATTTTAGGCCTTCTAGAGAATATAAAGTTAAGAATTGTTGTCATTATTATATTTTTAACCAAGCACCTGGTTCACACAGTATGGTCTTTTTTAGCCCGATTATTCAATATTTTCTCTTCCATTTAATTTGATATTTGGAAAATTCCTACCTTTTATAGTGCTTCGAAATTCATTTGTTCTCTTTCTTCACTCTTTATACTTTTATTTGTGTTAATTGTTGTGAAAATTGCCAAAGTTGCCAGAATTACTGCAAGGGAACCAGCTATGGCATGTAGTGAACCCATAACATATTTCATTTTACCATCAGTCTTTCCAACTGCAACTGATTCCATATATGGTATTTTGTTATACATATTCATAATAGATGTTATCGTAATGAACAGACATAAAATAACTAATACAATAAGTATAAAATATGTGAATATTCTATTCCCGAACATATATGTTTTTTGTATTTTTTATATAGAAACCGCAAAGTTAAATTAGACCCATGTGGTTTATTTGAGAAGTTGTACCGAAGGACTAGTGTCTTCTAGTTCCATACAGAACAACATGACGCCTTAAATATCTGATATGGTGAAAATATCTTTTGGTTTCCTTCCAAGTAACTGATATGGTAAAAGCACCATATTATCCCCCCTTCTCTTCCATTATGTGGAATTTGTTACAGGAGTTTCATGAATGATAGAATCAATTGTTTAAGGGAATTTCCACAAATTGATGTCAAGATGAAAGATATAAAGATTTCCA